TTCGTGCGTCTCCCTTTCTCGGGCCTCGTGCCTCTCATTGCGAAGATACGCGACTAGCAATATAGGAGTATTATATATATGCCCGCACCATAGCTTTACTCCCCGCGCCTATACTATCCCTTAGACCTGGTTTATGCGGGCAATAACTGTTAACTTATGCCGGAACTGGTAGAGTTTAACTATAGGATTTCAATACTTCTGTTTATACGCATTCGGAAATTTTGTATAAACAGAAGCATTGAAATCCTATAGTTAAATTCTACCGGTTCTGGCATAAGTTAACAGTTATTGCCCGCATAAACCAGGCCTTACCTCTGTGCCCTATACTCTTGCTCAGTCATGAAAAACTGAATATCATGATTAGCAACTACACTGAAATTTGAGGTTGGAGATTCGAGATCTGAGAGCTGAAATTTGAGATTGGAGACGAGGGTACCGATTGTGTATTTATGCGAAGTAGTGAAAATTACAAAAGTGAGAAAGTTTACTAGTTGTCGACTAATAAAATCACAGATATTTTAGTAAATTTTCTCACTTTTGTAATTTTCACTACTTCGCATAAATACACAATCGGTACCGAGATCTAAGATTTGAGAAACGACTATGAATTTGGACCTCAGCTACTCAGAGTAGAATTTTGGAATGCAGCCCATACGCAATTAGTTCAAGAATAGGGTCCCAGAGGCACGTGCGGTGTTCCTACCACGAAGTAAGAGTAAGGAGATCGAACTCCGTGATACAAAAGTGGTCCCGATTTTTACGGTTCATTGGGAGGGAATCCGCTCAAGAGAATAGATTTTTACGGTTGGACGCCATTTGCAAAACTGTGCATGTACACAACTAATACATGTACACGTTTAGTTATGTAACAAGATAGATTTATGCGTCGTCTACAATGAGAAGTTAAGCCGTAAGACTTAAGCTTTAAGAAGGTACAAGGCTCGTTTCCACTATCTACGATTAACTTACCGATCGATTGCGAGTCAATTGCGATTGGTCACTTTAGTCAATCGACCAATATGATTGGCGATTCCAACAAAATCATCGACCGATTAAGTTAATCGGAGATGGTGAAAACGGGTCTTATACCTTCTTAAAGCTTAAGTCTTACGGCTTAAATTCTCATTGTAGACGACGCATTACACACACTAAACGTGTACATGTGTTAGCTGTGTACATGCACAGTTTTGCAAATAGCGTCCAACCGTAAAAATCTATTCTCTTGAGCGGATTCCCTCCCAATGAACCGTAAAAATCGGGACTACTTTTGTATCACGGAGTTCGATCTCCTTAGACCTGGTTTATGCGGGCCTAAGATTTTAATATTTCTGTTTATTAACAGAAGCATTGAAATCCTATAGTCGAACTGTACCAATTCCGGCATAAATTAACAGTTATTACCCGCATAAACAAGGCCAAAACAAGGCCTTATTTGCCCGCATAAACCAGGTCTTACTCTTACTTTGTAGTTCCTACGCTTTCGAGAATGGGTGCGTTCAGACAACTCAACAGTTGCACAACGGTTGAGAGATAATCACTTCTGATTGGATCATACTTTTGGAACCAAATCAGATTTTGAAGAATAGTCCTATCATAAGTGATGATCTCTCAACCGTTGAGTTGTCTGAACGCACCCAATATTCGCAAAGATTTCCAATGAACGAGTCGGTGTGAATGGCACATTACCCGGCTTATCAGTATCACATTTACACTTACGAGTTTTCGGACAGGACAGGTTAATGTAAGTGAGTCACAAGAACTGCAGATACAGGCGCGCTCTCGTTTCTCGTCTCACGTAGAGATACGAGTGTTTTGTGAGGACGTGCCTCGAACAAACTTAAAAGCTAAGGAAAAAAGTGTTGCTTTATTTATCGAATATTGTAATCATTTTATACAAATCGAGTACGTATTTTTTCTTGCCATTGCGTTTTATTGTCATAAATGTGTATATTATTCCACAAAAGAACGGGCGTAGTTTATACTAAAGTTGAAATGATAACAATATTTCTTAATGACTTGTGTCTTCTTAACGATCGGTGTGAGTCACTGATCGGTCACGTCCACGTATCTCGGTTGCATCGCTGTACTTATCTCGCGCTCTATATATCTTTTTTGAAATCTTTCTTTAAAATTCTGAAAATTCTTCATTTTGTCAAGTGAGTAAAAAGTATTGTGAGAGTAAGTGAAAGCATATTCGAGCGCATATGCAAGATTGTTGCCATCTACATAAGATTGTGCTATTTGGAACTGTAATCAGAGCTTCTTGATTAATAGCGAATTGTTCTGTTTTAGTAAACTATATTACATGTGTACATACATATTAAAAATGCGTCAAATGCACAGTGCAAAAAAATAACGCTTTTAAATATAATTATTGCGTGACACTAACAGAAAGTGCATGACCATGTACATACATAACCTATCGTGTTGTAGCAAAATGTCAAACACGGGTAATCTGGAGCAGCAGATAGCAAACCTGCAGATCGGCCACGGCAACGAGATCAACACTGTCAAGCCAGTTAAGAAGATTGGGCCTGCAGTGCCACCGAAACCGAAAAAGTCACAACCTCAGGTGATTTTTAAATTTCTTGTTTATGTTACCATAGTATTATTTGCTGATATTGTATTAATGCTATATTTTCCTTACATTCTTGCACATGGATGCAAAAATGGTAATTAAGTATGTGCACATTGCATAGTTGAATATTGAAAATGTTTAATTAGAAATAAAACAAGAGAAAAATGTTTCAGATACCATTAAGTTATACCTTAAAGGTCTCTCCTATGCCATCATATAGTACAGTTCTCAATAACACTACAAACACATCAAACGAGAAGACTTCATTATACATGAATACTCCTCCGTATATTCCATTGGACATGAAGAAAGACTATTCTCAAGGTACATCTGCAAATAGCAAGAATGCATCACAGATTTATCATGATGACACTTTGTGCCAGCGTCAACTGGAAGAAAAGTTCGAGACAAAGTATAGATATGATGAGAAGAGCTATTATTCAAACATCGGGAGCTTACCAGCACCTCAAATGCCCCCACCAGATAATTCTGCAAATCGGGCATGTAGAAACGCAGTATATAGCAATATAAACCCAGTATTGGCACCTGTGGTATCTCTACCATCAGTCCCTTATAAGAATTTTCCAAAAGAAACTGAGAAAGACATTATATATAGCAACATTCAGTGGAATCCTAAAACAGAGAATACTTATTGTAATGTTCCTGCGCAACACAGCATTGGTAAGAAATATTTTTAAATGCTTAAATTATAATCTAAACTAGCTTCTACATGAAGAGCTTATTTTAATTAACGTAATTTCTGAGAACGTTGTCTTGCAATAGACATTTACTAGGCTTTTTGTCTTCAGACGATCTACCACCACCACCGGAACCATCGGAACCATCAGATTATCTTTCCTGCATGTCCGGCTCATCGTTGCCGCCACCACCGGATGAACTGCCTCCACCGCCGAGTCCAGTTTCATCTAGTTATAGCGAACTGAGACGTGCCACTTACCAGACCGATTATCCTGTGAATAATTATCCTGATATTTATGGACCGAGTTCGCAGTCAAGCTCGACGTACGAATCCATATATGAGCCGATTAATCCCCGACCTCCGTCGCAATTATCATGCAACTACTCGATGTACTCTGGTTACGACTCGGCCACATCTACTCAGCCGCAAGGCAAAGTATCTCCCGTTAAAGAGGTAAGATATGAATTAGTATTTTGTTAATATTTTATTAGATTTTATTTTTTCGCCAATTTAATAATCGAATAAAAAGATTATACAACCGAATATCAAAACTGAGCTAATTATAAAATAATTTCAGGTCGATGTTCTCACGGATCTTTTGGTTCAAGGAATGGAAGACAACAGCGAGGATAGCGACATATACGGAATTTGCGCGCAATGTGGACGTAAGGTTGAGGGTGAGGGCACCGGATGTTCGGCTATGGATAAGGTCTTTCATATAAGTTGTTTCTGTTGCTTTGTGTGCAAAGTCAATCTGCAGGGCAAACCTTTTTATTCGTTGGAAGGCAAGCCTTACTGCGAAGAAGATTATCTCAACACGCTAGAGAAGTGTTGCGTTTGCACGCGTCCGATTCTTGACAGAATATTGAGAGCCACCGGCAAACCGTATCATCCTTTGTGTTTCACTTGTGTCGTATGCGGACAGAGCCTGGATGGTATACCGTTTACTGTAGACGCCACGAATCAGATACACTGCATCCAATGCTTTCACAAGTAAGTTTTTTTCTACTCATTTCTAAAATAAATTTATTCGACTCTCTGATTCTTTGTTAATTCGAATTCTCGTAGAAAATTTGCTCCGCGTTGCTGCGTCTGCAAATTGCCGATAATGCCCGAGCCTGGTCAAGACGAAACCGTGCGAGTAGTGGCGCTAGATCGCAGCTTTCACATTCAGTGCTATAAATGCGAAGATTGCGGATTGGTACTGTCTTCCGATTCGGAGGGTGGCTGTTATCCTCTGGACGACCATGTTCTATGCAAAAGTTGTAACGCTACTCGCGTTCAAGCTTTAACGTCTCACATGACAACCGAATTGTGAATTAATCGCGCAGATGATTACGCACCAACTTTTAACACTAAAAAGAGAAATCAAGTGTGATCGTTCTACGATGAATAATTTGATATATTATATCTTTTTATAGGTTTTTTTATGCATTTTCAGATTGTTATTTGCAGTATTTTATACATTCAAATCGATATTTACTATCTATTATGTTAAAACATTTATCTCTTACGATATAATAATTGATATGCAATATTAATGAGAATTGTACTCTGGAGTGTTTATAATTTGATACAAGAGAAAATATTGTTAGTCTTTGTATTTGATCTAACAATTATTAATAGAAGTGTAATAGAGATTTTGTTATATATTGCCGTAAATATTGATGCGCTGAAATGTCACAATATATAGACTGCCTAATATTGAAGCTCTGAAGTTCCAATCATACTGCCATAATCGAAGCATTTCCAACAAGACATAAATTGAAGGTAATGTAGATTAATGATATTATTTTTCAAAGTACTTTTTTCAGCAAATGTGATTATTATTGTGATTCTAGTAAAGCATTTGATCGTCAAGTGTTTAACGTTGTAGTCTCTGTTAACAATAATACCGCTTCGCTATTTACATATGTAGACATAGATTGCAGATTCAGGAAGTAGTATTATTATTGATAATATTAATATAATGGTAGCACGCTATATTCTTCTTAAAGTAACTGTTAAGTTTGACATTAGACTATCTATCTATGTGTGTGTGTGTGTGTACACACACACACACACATATAGGGAGTAACTGCAACTATCGTATTTTTTTTTAACAACAGATTTCCAAAGTCATTTTAAGACAAAAATCTTGATACCAAAATAACGAGGCTAAAGCTGCGTTTTGATAATCACTGCCACTGAAAATGTTTAGCACATGTAACTTGAAATATAGTTTTAATACTGACAGTAAATATCGGAACGCAATCTATAAAATATATAAAATATTTCTTGAGTTATGAGCATTTAAAGTTAACAAATTAGATCGTTTGAAATTCGCGCGTTCAGATGCGGTACAATAAGTTTGTTTTATTTCCTTGCACTGGCTGCATTAGTTCACAGTTTATCTTTTTGTATCTATATTAGAAGGAAACATATAAATGCCTCGGTGGCCTAACAGGGAAGGCGACGGCCCGGAAAGCCGGAGATTCCAGGTTCGACTACTGGCTGAGGGGTTTTTATCGCAATATTTTAAAATTAGTTAGAAGGGTATACGGGATCCTTCGTATATACGTGATGCAAATCCAGCACCCTATATGGAGGAAAAAAATTATTTCGACGTATATATGTGTATACATATATATATATTTAAGCACATTCTCTGCATAACATCCTGCAAAACGGCTCTTATAACCCAATTTATTTCATTCAATGGTTTAAGAATACAGAGCCTGAAGAATCTTCTTGTTTATTATTAATAAAAAATATAAACTCTGAACTAGTGCAGTCAGTTCAGGGAAATAAAACAAACCTAATGCTAAAAACGCAGTGTTAAAAAAAATGCTCTTCTTGTCAATAAAGATTACGTGTGATAAAATAATGAGATCAGATTTTGCCTAAAATTTACGTATGCGAATAGTAACTTGATAAAAATATTAAAGGAAAAATATTACGTGTGTGTAAAATACGAGCTGTTAGATGACATTACTCTGAAAGAAAGCTGCTGCTAGTTTCAATTCTTACAATTATTTGTTACAGAGGAATGCTATATTAAATCATTTTATTAAAAATCACAATACTCTTATTATATAAATGAATGATAAACATTTTGAACAGTTATTAATACATGAAAATTGTTACTAATTAAAAAATTAATTAAAACTTGTTGATAATTAATTTACTTTGTATCAATTTATTGATTTGTATATGTAAAACTTTAATAGTGCTTATCTATTATAATATTAGTAATTTGATTTGATAATATAGATTGTAAAAAAGATTTTAAAATAATTTTTCTTTTTAATATTTATGATTTTCGATTACTGTAACACTGTACTGTAACAAGATATTGTCATAAGATTTGATATTAGCAATAGCTTCAGAGAAATATCTAACAGCTCATGTATATATTTAACATAATAATTAACAAATATCACGTAATTGTTTTTATTTTACTATTTTCAAGTTAAACGCGCAAATTTGAGAAAAAAATCATTTCATTATTATAGCACAATCTTTATTGATAAGAAGACTTTATTGACATTGTTTGCGCCTTTAACATTGTACCGCATGTAAGCGCGAATTTCAGGCAATCTGATTTGCTAACTTTAAATACTTATAGTATTTTAGCCTCGACATTTTGGTATTAGGACTTCGTATCAGAATGACTTTGGAAATTTGCTGATAAAAAAACATTTGTGTGTACACACATATTATAATTTCTTTTTCGGTTTGTGTGTGTATATACATAAAAACCGAAAAAGAAAAAAAAGCAACCATTTGTATCGTAAATATTTTACGATGTAATCGGTTCCCAAACTTTGCGTACAGATAAGATTGTACATTGAAAGAGATCTCTGTAGTATGTATATCAATAAAAATACAGTTTATGTAATTGTGGTAATGTTTATGGTAATTGAAGAATAAATTTTCCGTTGTTCTTGTTCGTCGCTTGAAATTTTTTCCTTTACGTATGTGCAGACGTATAGACTACAATTTTCACTCGCATTTATGAACTCAATCAATCTTTGTACGTTTTTCATTATTTCAATAAAACTTATAATGCAATCGTTCACTATAATAATAGTATTTTATTATGATTTTTTGATTACACGATAGTTCAAACTACTGTACTGTTCAGTTACGAATGTCCGGAGAAAATTTCTTACAGTAAAAAGATCTAAGATTTAGCATATTATATTTTATATCTTGTGTGTAACAGCGAGAATTACTTAAGCTTACTTCCGAGAAACTTGATACATCTCTCACTGGAATTATGTTATTAAACGTGAGAAATCATATGAATTTGTCATGCGCAAATTAAAACATTAAAATAAATCTGTTAATTTGGATGCCAATCACTGATATATTTTATAGATTAATAAAAAATATACTTAATCCATAGTAGCATGCAATAACGCTATCATGACTCAAAATGGCAACAGTGAAAAAGTATATAGTTTTAAGTAAGTTTCTTCTAAAATTATCATATGTTCTGGATACGTTTTTACTACGGAGATCAATTTTGAATTTATCAAAAAAATTGTAACTGAAACAAAGTCCATGATTATATGATTTGTATACACAATGTTTTGTGTGTGTGTGTGTGTGTGTGTAAAGTATGTGTTTTATGTGTGCGCACACACATAACACATCAATATACACATATTATTAAGTTGTTATTGTTGACATTATTACGTAATTGCAGAAGAAATTTATAGCACTTTTGTTTCTATATCATCCCTAATTTTTCTCTAGCTATATGATTTTTCATGCACAGATGTTTATCTATTATTATTTTATTACTATATCATTATTAACATCTCTCTCGTTTTTTAGATATTTGCATCTGTTTTTTTATGCATATAGTTTTTTTATTATCATAGAATACTTAAATCTTATATAACTTTCGTGATATATAATTTGTATATGCTTTTTTAATGTATGTTTATACGTTTATTAATACATAAAAGGTTTTTGTCTCACACTTGCACGTTTTATGGATCGTGGAATGTTTTCTTATATTTCTTTTTTAAGCGATAAAGAAAAAAGTGATTTGATTTACATCATTACCAGTGTATACATTGGACGACAGAGTAATATAGAAAATAATTATATATATTTTTTTTAGATCAAATAAATCATAAAGGCACTTGCACTTTGAAATTCTTATGTACAACAACAAACGAATTTTTGTTACGTTTCGTGCTAAGTAATATATATATATGTATATAAAAGTTCAATAAACACTTACCAAGCAACGCTTATATTGCAGCGAGTTCCTTTAAGTATAAAGAGATACCTCTGCTTCTGATGTCACATTGCAATAGTCCGTCTTCCGCGTAGCTGAAGATCTTATCTACCAGAGAAACAAGTTCACCCAATACTTACATCGGAATAAATTTTTTGAATTAATCACGATATGAGCGTCGCTTACTATATGATGTATCTGCACTGAAAATGTAAGTGCACTAAAGATTCTGCAAAGCCATAATTACATTTCTGAGAAAGAATAACAAATACAGAATAACATATATAGATACCAAAGAAGAATACTCCAAAAAGCGAAGGATTTATAATCTTGCAATCTTACTAAGATTTTAGAACGTTCCACGATCCAACATGCATACTTGTTTCTTTTTTTTGCTGCGTATTTTGTAAATTCTATTCTTTTTTTAAATTAAACCTATACTTACTATGTGTAACATATATGTATACATATAAGTTATACATATACATGTATACATATACATTATCTTTTATATTTCTTTTATATTTGACCAAATCTCTTAGCACCATTCTACGTTAAATTTAGTACATGTTTGTTTCTAAATACTTGTATTTAATCTAACAAATACTTGTCCAGTTTGTTAGCTCCGTAGTACCAAAGTCAACATAGAATTGCACTTTTTCTGTCTTTAACAATCTATCAATTGCGTTTTTTCATATAGATACACATATTTCATATATGTGTATACATATATGTGCGTTTTGTGTATACATACATATAAATGCGATATATGAAATATACATATCTATCTGAGAGCAGATACACAAGTTACATGTTGGCTTACACATGTAAATCTGTACTTGCACGCAATAAATCACAGCCATCTATCCGGATTCGCGCGCGAGCACAAGTACACACAACTAAGTACTGTGTATCTTTTTTGCATTTACATCCTAGATAATATATATCTTCGGTATATCAGTTGTACTCCGCTCTCTCTCTCTCTCTCTCTCTCTCTCTCTCCCCCCCCTCCCCACGCACGCGAGCACACACACGCACATACGTCCATATCGATATATTGCGTACATGCGTTTACATAAATTTATATACGCATTTGCACATATTTTTTCAAACATATGTTGTTTATATACGCATATATTTGTGCACATATGCGAAGATATATTTTTTCTGCCTAAACACGGTACCGAAAATGAGCTACACATACACACACTCTTTTTCTGTTTCCTATATACATGATGTCTGAAAAATCTTAACAGCCGAGTGTGAAAATAGATTAGGTTAATTTAAACAAAAAAGTCACGTATCATTTTGCAAAATTCACAGTAGTTATTGAGTGATGATTAATTAATATATGTAGCCCAATAAGCGCGTGGGAAACGATGATCTGGACTGTAGACATGTACGATTTTCACTTGTGGAAATTTGATCGCAAGAAGCTGAATCACTCGCTTGTTTGTTCTGCCTCTTGCTGTTAGAATATTGCATGAAGTAAGCAATTTTTCTTTACAACTGTCGTGTATGAAAATCACACGACTACAGAGTCCGAACTATGGCTTTTCACGCATTCATTGAGTGAATTACGTGAATTAAATAATTAGCACTTTTGCAAAATGATACATGACTTTTCTGTTCAGATTGACCCAATCTATTTTTACACTTCAACTGTGTAAAATTTTTTCGAACATTCTGTGTATATATATATATACAGGGTGTCCCAGAATTGGTGTGACATCTCTCGTAGGCAGGTAGGAGTAAAACTGAGTCGAAAAGTCCTGAACCAATTTTTTTCTATTATTTATAATAAAGGAGTAATTGTTGAGTAAATCAGACCAATCAGCGCCAATCTTTAGCCAGGCGCACGTCAGCGAACCGCGCGGAGCGCTCACACACACCAGGCGCGTGGCTAAAGATCGGTGCTGATTGGCCTGATTTACTCAACAATTACTCCTTTATTATAATAGAAAAAAATGGTTCAGGACTTTTCGACTCAGTTTTACTCCTTCTATCTACTTACGAGAGATGTCACACCAATTCTGGGACACTCTGTATATATATATATATATATAGTCAACCTTCGATAAAAAAAAAAAAGAAAAAAAAACTATAACTCGGAACTTTATAAGACAAAAATTTTGTTCATTCCCTTCCGCTCCGCGGAAAAGAAAAGAACTTCGATAAGTCGAAACCTCTACAACTTGAAGAATTTAGCTTTTCCTTTGAGATTCGAGTTATCGAAGTTTGACCGTATATATATCTTCTCTCTACTTATGATATTCATTCATTCAATTCGCACTCATACAATCTCAACGTCTTTTACTCATTCCTTTTTTTCTCCGTGAAATTTCTTTCTCATCGCAATGACCGTATCACCAACACTTCGATAATCACTACGACTCTGCGTTGCTTGGTATTTTACGATTTTATTCTCTCATTACAATTTGCCGAGGGGAGATGGAGGAAAGTCTCTTTATTATAGTAGCATCACTCTCACACTTCCGAATTCGCTGGGAGTAGTTGGGCGTAAGTAGCATCACGTATGCCCGTAAATCAATAAATAAATATAGAGGAACAACATTCTTCAAATCTATTTTTTTCTCATATAACAACATTAGAGGCTCTCGGAACGTAACGCAACAAATGTGTTCAACAATATAACCACGAAAACAAATAGAAGGCACTCTTGCGTTTTTTGTTAATAAATTAATTTTCTTCTGTGTTATAACAATTCACTCTTCAATATTTTTTCCTACGTTTTCTCCTCTAGGCCTTGTCTCTGTCACGTTCGTATATCTGTTACCTATATATCAATTAATAACATTCGGTTAATAACATTCATTGTTGCCAAAATCTCTTGGACAATACGCGCTGGCGTCATTTTACAGCGTCACAAGTCTTATTCGTCTCTTTCTTTTCACCCGTCTTTTTCTGTCTTGTTTTTAAATAGACAATAATAGCTACAGTATGTGAGATACGAGATAACAAATTTATTTCACATTTATAGGTAAAAGAAATCTACCTTCACAATATCAGGTAGAGAATATTTATATTTAATCTTTAATATTATAATAATTTAATTATTGTTATTTGCCCGGAAGCTCACAGCCGACACATTTATAATTCATTATTTTATTTTATTTTTTTCTCTTCTGTTAATCTTACCTTATTTTCACCTGGGTACGGGGCGTCTCATCTTTGCTATCTCACGGTTCTTAGTGTTTTGTTTTGCTTTTGTATTTAACAGCTACAATATGTATAACGTTTATAGCGCAGAGAATTTTTCAACAAAAAAAAAGAAAAAAGAAATTCAGTTAGGTAATTTATACACATTCGAAATGCGCATTGATGAAATATATGTGTAATTACGGTTACTCTAACGAGAGAGAGACAAACTATATAAGTACCAAACATATCTCCGCATTAGAGATAGAAAGGAAAATTATAGAAATGTGGCAGTGCCTTGAGCAACCGTTTGTGAAATCAACGCCTATCTCCCTGTTACCCTTTCGCTTTGTTCTTCAACTTGTTTTTTTTTTTTTGTTTTTCTTTTGAACACATGACAAATCGCTCGTCTTTGTACAATAACAACGTTATTTTCTTCTTTTTTTTCGTCTAATCATTTGCTAACTATGCTAATCTAGCTTTGCTCGCGAGATTCATAGTTTGTCGAGCCTATCACGCAATATAACATCGGATATTGTATAATAAGTAGTTGTGTATATGTGTGTGTGTGTATATGTATATATATGCACACATACATATACACGCGCGCGTACACACACACACACATATTTTATATATATCATATAACATAGATCATAAATGATGTATCGTATCTATGTGTGTAAATATATGTATATGTTAACATAGAAGTTTTACCTTCCTATTAATTCTTGGCTACACATTGTTTTTTCTTTCTTTCTTTCTCTCTCTTTCTCATATCGAATATTATTTAAATTAATTTATTCTTACCTAAAGTATATTTTACTTTTTTTTTCCTTTCTTTCCTTCTAACAAATAACAAATAACAATATCGCAACTTGTTCTCTATTTCTGCACAGATCACATTCCCACTTGTGTGCACACACAACTTCATCATAATCGAACGATTGCCGAGCCTTTACAATCGACTTTGAGAAATGTTGGTTTTACAGAGAATGTCAGATTATCTTTAACGTGTCGAGAATCTGAGATCACCAAGAAAACTTATATGTAATATGTGTGTGTCCTGAGTCCGAACTATTTCAACAGTTTTGTAGCCGTCGTCTTAGGTCGTGCGTGGTTTCTTTTCTCTCTCCTTTTCTCTTCCTCCCTCCCTCCCTCCCTTTCTCTCTCTCTCTCTCAATCACACATGCATATATATGTATGTATGCATGTACGTATATATGTATGCGGGAGTATGCATGAGTATACATTACGTGTGCGCTAGAGCGCGCGACACACGCATAGGCAAGAAGAGACACAAAGACAAAAAGAAAAACCAGAAAAAAATGGTTCGGAAGTTTGATAAGCGGGAAACATCTACAAAGCCAGTGCCTGCATCTGATGGCACGTGTCGCTTAATTGATCGCCCGCCGCTGGATGACTGGACACTCGTGGTGTGCCGGGTGGCGTTATCGACAACTTGCCGGGACCGTCGCCAGCACCTCCTAGAGTATCCTCCGCTAATTTGCTCACCGTTGTAGCCACAGTTATACTATTCATTTGTTTGTACTTGGACTGCCGTAGCATCGTCGTCTGCGAACCGGTGTTTGAGTACTTGTCAGAAGGCTTCCGTGCCGCGGACGACAATGACTGGCCGACGGAGTACCGACCGCGTTGACTAGGCGGCGGCGGCGGCGGCGGCGGCGGCGGCGGCGGCGGCGGCGGCTGATGCTGCTGCTGCTGCGATTGAGACGGGGCCATGGAGGAAGGCGGCTGATACCGATTTTGAGCCGGAGTGTAGAATTGGACCTGAGGGGTGGGTGGGGAAAGATTTGGAAGAGGTCGTGTCATGGGTGAATAAGGAGCTGGTGGTGGGCTCGTCGGCTTTTCCTGGGTCACGTTCGTCCGCTCGGTCGAGGACAAGTGAGATGATAATGTTGTCATCGTCGTCGTTGTCGTCGTCGTTGTTGTCGTTGTCGTTGTCGTGGCAATGATGACGACGCTGTCAGTCTGAGAAGTGTCAGTATTCAATCGACTATTGTTGTTGTCACTCTCAAGCACGTCCAAGCAAGCGATACCTCCCCTACAGTTGTTATTATTTGACGAGCAATTCTTACGACCTGAACCATACTTATTGTTATTCGCGCCGACCTCGTAATAATGATCATTGTTGTTCTTCACGCGTCCATTTGTCGCATGTTCATAACCGTGAGTATTCACGTTGCCCGATTGCTGCGAGCTGCAGTAGTTGGGCGACGAGGTATGAGTCACTTTGTGACTACCACCGGATTTAAGAAGCGTCGACGAGCCCACGTTTGATCCAGCCGATCTTCTGTTGTACTGCACTGGCAGTCGTGACGATATCGGTAACATCGGATATTTGTGCAACCCGTCCGCCACGTTTCCGCCGCACTTGTGCATCTGCGCACTGGTGTGTGTATTCTTTGCATGCGTGTTCTGGTGTGTCAACTGATAGCCGTGATTCTGAGCGCGCGACGTATTATTGCCTGTGTACTTGTTACCGCAATCTCGATTATTGTAACCATGCGTCTTTACCATACTGGTGTCATAAGCACCAGGCGATGGCGTCGGCAGCAGACTAGACGTACCGGACGCATTATGATGCGTAACGTAAGGCGGCGGTGCGTGAGCGTGCGGAATGTACAAAGGATAGAAAACTCGACAATTCATAGAACGACCGACAGCGCAGTCCTCGCTGTCGTTCTGCGGCGTGTGTGTTATCGCGATTTGATAATTAGCGTAGCGACCAGGGAATTTCACGGGCATTAGGGGCACCAGAGATGTTGCCGGTGAGCCTGTAGCGGTCTGTTGCGCGTCACCGTGTGGTTGCTCCGAGTGGTTTGCCGTCGAACGTAAATCCTACGATTTTATTTCACAGAATAATACCTTGTTTGTTTAGTATGTCGGATTTAAACATTTTAGCAACAAAATGTTTTGTATATGATCTATCATCGCGATAAAAATTCTCGACTTCGATTTATTTCACGTTTGTCTGTATTGTGCGTGATTTTTCATCTATTCATCATTTTTTGAATCTATTCGATATCGCTAAACGTCGACGGCAAGTAGAGGATCTTAAAAATGGCACCAAAAAATGAAAAATTAGCTTACCTCCTGCGGGACAGTTTGACTGTCAGACGTGGAGGTTTGACATGACGTGACATCAGGAGTGTACAACAGAAGTTGCTGTTCAGTCAGTCCTATAGGCGCGTGCGGCGGCGGCGCGGGATGTGGACTGGTTGCGAAAGAATAGTACATATGATCTACTTGTGCAGAGGGCGGTGGCAAACCCGCTGGTACCGGCGGATGATGAGGGGGTGGCGGTGCAGCGGGAGCGTAATAATGCGGCGGATGTGAAAGAGGAAGAGGTGGTGGGCATGTCGGAGGGCTCGTAGTTCCTGTACCATTCGTGCCGCCGCTGCTGGAATTATTGCTGCCGTTACCAGTGCTGTTTGAGTTATTCGGCGAACTGCCAGTAGTCGCATATAAATACTGAGGCGCTCCGGCGGCAGCCGTTCCTACGTAGTACGGCTCGTACTGTAAGCAAATCACGAATAACACTTAATTATCATTTATTTTATTCCCCGACTTGAGAGTGTTTCGTATAAATACTTTCATGTTTACGAGCCGTTTTTATAAGCATAAGTTAATCCTTCGTTCTCCATGCAAAAAGTTTCTTTTTGAATGGTGAATCACACATTGTTCTAAGCTTTAAATGTGTTAAAATATTAACGTTAGGTTAGATATTGACGTTATCCATAACGTTACGGATAACGTCAATACCTAATTAATATAACGTTAATATAACGTTACGGATTGACAACAAAAAATCTAATATTCAATTCAGATACAAATGTATTAATTTAATTTAATTTAATTTTTTCCTGTAAATATCATAAAAAAAGAAAATATTCAGGAAATAATATAAATCAAGGAAATGATATAAATCGGTTATACTTTAGTTTACGAGAACAGTCTATTTTAATGAAAATGACGGATTTATAAAATTAACTATTTAAGAAGCAAGCGATTACTTCGATTAGTGTATATTGCGACTGTACTGAATATCTAATATGTCACTTCCTTTGTTACAAAGTAGAAAAGAATTCACAATCGGAGATTATACACTGTGGTGAAGAAAACGTCGATCACTAATTTGGCGTAACTATTGATGATATTTGTGCGATTCGCGCAAAATAAATTATATTATCATTTTCTACTTGTATTTCATGTACAAAAAATGAGAACATCAGATCACAAAACTATTCTAAATCCACATTGTATGCACAGGCTTACGTACGTTTTTGTTTTTATTGTTATATTGATAAGTATTCATTTCCGAAAAAATGTCTAATTATAAAAGAAAGATATTACATAGTATTATTTTAGTAGTGCAAGTGCGAGAATATCATGTGCTCGATACTGTAGCTGAGATAAATGTGACTAGTATCATCAAACAAACTACTATTAGAAGTAAACATGCTAACCAAGTGCAAAATCGATAAACATTTTAATTTTTGCCACAATATAAAAATTCCATTAGCACTTATGCCTTAAGTAGAAATTAAAATAAATGAGAAGAAAGATATAGCAGAGACAACAAAAGACAAGGAAAAAAAAGAAAAAACAAATATCCAAAGAAAACAAATATTGTTCTAGCAGATGCAGAATATAAATGTGTAACCATCGTTAAATTTATTAATAGTTTGGCTCGATTTCTCTCATCTTTATTGCCATTGTACTATAAATTTTGTCATATAAGCAAATGTATAACTTAGTTTTAGTTGATTGATTATCACATATCATTTACTAATTTTTCATTCTGTAAAAATCATTACACTGGTATTAGTATTATTATAATCATTAAAATTATATTACATATTCACTGTCATCACTGGTATTATGTTGCGCTGATTAATGTATCTCCTGTTTATACTATAAATCATCAATCCGTCTATATTTAAAGATTTTTCTTAGATTCATATTATTTCATAAATTACGTGATTTATTGCACTACATAAAATTGCAATAACAATAAATGACAAAATGTAAACAATTGATGTAAGACATCGGTGAATACAACTCACAAGTCGTGCGACAAAACAAGGTAATGAGAACGAACATGCATTGACAGGCCGTGCATCGAGAGGCTGACAAAAGAAAGGTGTTAAAAAAAAAA